CATTTTGTCAGTTTGACAACCAATTCTGGCCTCTGCCTCTAAGACAGCTACTCTAATACCAACAAATGAATGCCTGTTTCTTCTCTAATAAAAATCAAAGCACCTCAGATTCGAGGAGTTTCCTGGGAGACACTGTAAGCTATGTCAGCATTAGACTTTAACAGTCTAAAGAGTAACAAAAGCTGTTACAGTTACAGCTAGGATTCTCCCTTTGTCTTAAAATTAAAAAAAAATTTTAAGAACTTAAGTACAATTAGAATGTCATTACTACAGGGGCGCCTGGGTGGCTCCATTGGTTAAGCGTCTGACTTCGGCTCAGATCATGATCTCAGTTTGTGAGTTCGCCCTATGGAGCTCTGTGCTGACAGTTCGGGGCCTGCAGCCTGCTTGGGATTCTGTGTCTCCCTCTCTCTCTGCCCCTCCCCCACTCACACTCTGTCTCTCTCTCTCTGTCTCTTTCTCTCAAAAATAAATGAACATTAAAAAAAAATTTTAAAAATATCATTACTACATCTGCTTTTTCTGGAATTACCTTTAGTTAGTAACTCAGGAATTGAGTGATTTCTCATCACTTTCCACTCAAAACACCCACGGACACAAGGAGCATTATTCTTTTTTTTTTTTTAATGTTTGTTTTAGAGAGAAGGGGGCGCCTGGGTGGCCCACTGGGTTAAGCGTACGACTTCAGCTCAGGTCATGATCTCGCGGTCTGTGGGTTCGAGCCCTGCGTCAAGCTCTGTGCTGACAGCTCAGAACCTGGAGTCTGCTTCGCATTCTGTGTCTCCTCTCTCTCTGCCCCTCCTCCCCCACTCATGCTCTGTCTCTGTCTCAAAAATAAATGGATATTAAAAAAAATTTTTTTTTTCAACGTTTATTTATTTTTGGGACAGAGAGAGACAGAGCATGAACGGGGGAGGGGCAGAGAGAGAGGGAGACACAGAATCGGAAACAGGCTCCAGGCTCTGAGCCATCAGCCCAGAGCCTGACGCGGGGCTCGAACTCACGGACCGCGAGATCGTGACCTGGCTGAAGTTGGACGCTTAACCGACTGCGCCACCCAGGCGCCCCTAAAAAAATTTTTTTTAATGTAAATTAGAGTGCATGCACGAGGGGGAGAAGGGCAGACAGAGGGGGACAGAGGATCTGAAGCAGGCTCTGCACTGACAGCAGAGAGCCTGATGTGGGGCTCAAACTCACGAAGCGTGAGATCATGGCCTGAGCCAAAGGCAGACACTCAACTGAGCCGTCCAGATGCCCCACAAAGAGCACTATTCTCCTACTGAAAAAAAAAAAAAAAAAAAAATTGAAATCCTTTAGTCAGAACAAGAACGAGTCAATAATACTAAAGGCACATAGTTAAGAAAGTTATGACAAGGAAGCACTTTTGTGTATCCTACCAATGATTCAATCAAATCCAGTGTTTCTAATTATCAGTAGTATTCAGGCTAGGCCTTGGCATTTGAAAGGGCAAATTTCCAGCCCTTACTTAACCCCTTCTCTGAACCCTTTCCTCTCTCTGAAATAAAGTATGATTGTGGGAGGGAAAAATCTCCTGTTTCGCTATACGTGACACAGGATAGTGGGCAGTACAATTATTTCCTTTTTATTCCTTGTAAATTTCAGTCCTAAATATAGAGTGAATCAGCACTGACAGAAGTAAATATGTGAACTTTAATGAAAAGACTAGTAAAAAGGAAAGAACACAAAAAATGATACAAATTCAAACCAAGTAAAGTCATCGAATCTACATATGGTTTGGAAGGGAATGAAGCAGAATGAAAATAGCTGAAGTTGTCAATGAAAAGGATTGTTCTTTTTCTGTCTAGCTCTTTGTGCAAAAAAAAAAAAAAAAAATTTTTTTCTAAAGGCCTAAGCTACAAAATTCCCTAAGTACAGAAAGTATCCAAAAGCTCTGAAGAAGGGTCAAGAAAATATTTTTAGAATTTCATGTTGATACCTTTTTTTTAGAAAGAATGAGAAAAGTCTGGAGGCTCATTTGAAATTACAAGACAATAGAAGGGGGGAAATGTGCTTTTAAAGTGTAGATAGTCCTTTTCTATACCAATAGTTTCTTAGGTACTCTGAATGTTTAACTGTAACACGAAAGGCCAATCACGTCTCTCAATGACTGCAGTCTGAAAAGTGACTTTGGGCTAGAAGAGGTAGGCTGGGAGAGTTTATCCCTAAAGAATGAAAACTCTATTTTCTCTGGCAGCTTCATCTAGATTCTTCGTTGGCACAAAAGCTGGAAATTCTTGAAATGGTGGATAGCTCAATATTTTGTTACACTTTGCTCCAGTAAGAGAAAAAAAAGCTTTCCTTCAATTTACATAGCTTTATGAAATATAAAACTATTTTGATAGCTTTGTCAGCATTTCTAAATTCTAACCAAATGTCTTCTAACATAATAAAAAACACCTTCTGGACCCCAGCACTCTTCTTGGAATTACCCTTAGCATTCCAATCACCTGAGTTAACTAACAAAAGTTTTGAAAGCAAGATTTACTTACCATCAACCCTCCCACGACCTGGCCCTACAGGCTACAGTTATTTCTGCTACATCAGTGAAGAAATGAACCCTGTGGATGGAGAGCTTTGGCCAGTCCCCAACACCATTCCACCCTGTGTCCAGAATGGGGAAGCCAGGAGGTCAGAGTTCATCCTACAACCTCTGGTGGAAACGGGGGGGGGGGGAAGAGGAGGCCACTTTTTCCCACTGTGACTGCTCCTGTAAGGGTAGGAGGCCTGAAGCTGGAACGGCTTATCACACGGAGGGAGCCTGCCTGAGGCTGAAGCCGAAACAAAGGGAAGCACTGTTGAGAAGCGGAGAAAAATGGAGTCCAGGAGACTTGATCCACCTGAGTCTGAGGCCAGTGTCACTGGTAGGTTTTTTGGTTCCACAGGCCAATGGGTGTGCAACTCCACCCCTGCCAATTTTTCTTTGAATCAATTTGAACCAATTTTTCCCCTGAATGGAAAGAGCCCTATGTTCGTTAAGATGCTTTTAGCTGCAAGTAAAAGAACACCTGCTTAAAAATGGCTTCAACAACAGATGTTTCTTATTTCATACAACAGGCAGCTCCAGGGCTATCAATTCAACAAAACAATAATGCAGTCAAGAATCTGGGTTTCTCATCTGTCTCCTTGGCAACCCTTAGCATTCTGGCTTTTGTCTTTGAGCCACAGTGATGGCAAGATGTCTCCCAATGCTCCAGGCATCAGATCGTCACACAACTGAATCAAAGGTATGGGAAACTTTTCACCAGAGAGGATAAGGCACACTCCACCTCCACACTCTTCCCCGTGGTCTCACCGGCCAGGATGGGGTTTCACACTGCCTTGCTGCCTTCACCTCATTCAACCAATCAATGAATGGCAAAGGAGAGTGGAATTATCACGATGGCAAAGACCAGTCTTGACTTGGAGGGGCACAACTTCCTTGAGTGCACTGTGGCAAGATACCTGATCAAAATTAGGGTTCTATTTTCAAGGAAGAAGGGGGCAGTGGCCCTTGGGTAGGCAACCGACAGCGTCTGCTATAACTCCTAGTACAAGCACTGGTGTTCACTGACCTACAGTGACCCAAACAGTCAAAGAGTGAAGAACATCGTTTCCATGGCACAATAACTAAACACACATCAGCTATAGTTCTTATTCTAAGAAACTATGAAAGGTGACTGCAAAACTGTACATTCCTTGGAGTGGTGTTTTAAGTCTTTACTGAATGTCCCAGAAGAGGTGTTAGCTGTGTAGGTTATTTTCAGTGTCCTGATAGCAGAAAAGGGATGATCATACCATTCTTAGACACTGAAGGCTTTCTATCTCGTTAGCTAAGGCTGTTAGAATCTGCCGGGATGTGCAGCTCAAGAGCCTGCTAAACAGAGAATAGGAACTCTAAGTAAAACTGTTTTCCAACTCTTGACTGAAGATCAGTACTATCCACTGGTGTTTCTTCCTTAAGATATGGCATCACTGGGGGTTGCAAGGCTCACATGAGGTGGCAATGCAAAAGCTCATAGGCGAGAACTAGGCACCACTTAGAGGGGTAATGTGAAGCCCAGGGAAAACACAGGAGGGGCTGAACCAGCTTAGTAGGAATGCAGATGATGACAGGGGACGGGGAATCAAAGTCTGAACATTCATTTCCAAAGCTAAGCTAAACCATCAATGTATTATAAAAATATTACTCAACCAAACCTGTAAGGCAAAGAAAATTAACTTACAGAGAGCATCGGTGGTGATAAGGGAAAATTAAATCTCATTGGTAGGCAAGTGAAAACTAGTAAAAGCAACACAATATCACAAACTGATAAATGCCTTAGCGGGTCTCCGTGAAACCTTATTTACCATGCCTTAAGCACCCCCAAACACATTTTTGTCTTGATTTTAATACTTCCTGAGAAGTAAGGTCCCTGTTTCTTCCTTCATTAACCATTTCAATTAACTTTCATGTGAGCTCACATCTATTATTACACTGATTCATTCCCTCTAAATAGGAGCTGATTACCTTTTTTTTCCCTTTTTTAATCTTACTGAAGTACAGTTGACATACAGAGGCTAGTTATCTTAACAATTTATTGCCACAGGAAACAAGAAAGACATGCAAGTGAGGTAGAATGGAATACTCCTGAACACCTTAGATCTCATTCTGACATTAGAGTGAGCCATTTCTCCTTCTTAGACCATGAAGTGAGAGTTCCTTCTGGCTGTAAAATTCAGTGACCCTATGAATTAAGTGTCCACTACTGTGCCCCGAGGGTAGTTCTAGAAGCAGAACGGGGGGGGGGGGGGGCTTCTATGTGACCTTTAGGAGGTCATCACTCCTGAGTCACGGTGTCCTCATCTGTAAAATGGGATCATAACACCCTCGTGGCAGGTTGCAGTGAGGATTAAATGAAATCGGGCATGTACCACATCTCATGCTGTTTCTGGCACTAGGAAGGCACTCAAAAAATCGTATTATTACTGCTTTTATGATAGGATCACTGACAAGCACTTACCTAAAGAAACAACAGCAACACTCTCTGGCAAGAAATGTAATCTGTATCGGATCAGTAAATGCACCAATATGATGCAGATAGCTGTGGGAAAAAATAAGACACTGTTAAAACAGCACAATTTCAAATAATAAACACCAAGTTCAAAGCAATGGTTACTTCTGGGGGGGGGGGTGCTGCTGCTAAGGAAAATGGACAGCAGACAATGACATGGGAAACTTCAGTTCTTTTTCCAATCTCTTATTTCTTAACCTGGAAGGAGATTCACAGTGTTTTATAACATTGTCTCCAGAGTTTTTATATGCCTGAACTAGTTTATTTTCCAGTGGTTGCTGAAAGAGCAACGGACATCTAATCTTTTCCCCTAACCGCATAAACCTTATACAATCATGTATTCAAATCTCTAATTCTGAGAAATGGTCTTCAACTTTTTGGAAGTAATCACCTGGAAAATCTGAAATGGGAGGAGGAAGTCAGTGAAATCAATCCCTTTAATCAAATATAACTGCAACAGAATATGTTGCCACAAAGTGTTTTGCCACCATGGGATTGGTTCTCTTTTCACAGAGAATGAAGTGAGAGTATAGTCCACAGAGAACGAAGTCAAAACTGTGGTCTGGTGGGAGAGCATCAGAGACCTAAAGGTGGGGTGCCTGCTCCTCAGCTAGGTACTGGGGCTCCCACTAGTTGAGGGCTCCCCATGGCCAGGCACTGCACTGAGTACTTCTCAAACACAGTCTCATTTAGCCCCCAACACCCCTCTTAATTAGCTATTATGACCATAATCTCCTTTGATTATAGGCACAAAAACAGGCTTCAAGAGGTCATGTCACTGTAGGTGCTGCAGGGTTGAGCCCGATTCCAACCCTGTGCCTTTATGTTTTTGTTTTTGTTTTTAAGTTTTATTTATTTATTTTGAGAGAGAGAGAGCGTGCAAGTGCAGAGGCCCATGCAGGCCTCAAACTCAAGAAACTGTGAGATCATGACCTGAATCGAAATCAAGAGTTGGAGACTTAACTGACTGAGCCCCCCGGGCCCCCCAACCCTGTGCCTTTAGCCATAGGCATCCACCACCTCCCTTCCGCCTGTCTTCATTCCTCAGTCACCAAAACAGGAGTCATGTTTAATTTTGCTCACAGTGGGGCGGTCACGAAAAGAAACAAAAGAATGTAAAACTGAAAGAGAGAAGTATCTCTGGACCCTCCCCCCCATACGAGTATATTTTCACATAAATAATTCCTAAATGTAATTTCACGGCCCAAATGCAAGTGTGCGTATCTCCTTCTTTTATTATGCACCTAGGTGGGATAGCATCTCATCAATCACAGGACTATCTTAACAGTACTAAGTATAACTGTTGCCTTTTTGTAAAAGGAAATGTTTAAACAATCCGCATAGTGGTTAAATGGCCACCCTCAGAGCCTGCACTGACAGACTAGATATTGTTAGGCCCACCAAAAAGCACCAGGTGGCCAGAAAAAGGAAACAGTTGTAAATATAGAAATTTTGTCCTTCTTGCATTCTGTGCTTTCAACTATCAATCTGTGGTGTTACTTTATTATAAATATTTAACCTAGTTAGAAAAATCCTACATTAAATACCAAGAGCAAGAAAAATGTTCTAATGCGTAAGCACAACATGTGACTAGTGAGCAGGCCTACTGTCTAAAAAGGCAGGTACATAAGTGGGCTGAATATAGATCTAGGGAGTTCACTCAGTTTCTGATCTTTCTTTGCACCAAGCTAGATGAAAAAATTAATTGAAAAAGTTTATTCTCGGGGTGCCTGGGTGGCTCAGTCGGTTAAGCCTCCTGACTTTGGCTCAGGTCATGATCTCATGGTTCGTGAGTTTGAGTCCTGTGTTGGGCTCTCTGCCATCAGCACGGAGCCTGCTTCAGATCCTCTGTCCACCCTCCTCTGGCCCTGCCCTACGCACTCTTGCTCTCTCTCAAAAATAAATAAACATAAACCTAAACAAAAAAACTTCAAAGTTTAGGGGCACCTGAGTGGCTCAGTCGGTTAAGCGTCCAACTTCAGCTCAGGTCATGATCTCGCAGTTTGTGAGTTTGAGCCCCGTGTCAGGCTCTGTGCTGACAGCTCAGAGCCTGGAGCCTGCTTTAGGTTCTGTTTCTCTTTCTATGCCCCCCCCCCCCCTTGCTCACGCTCTGTCTCTCTGTCTGTCTCTCACAAAAATAATCATTAAAAATTAAAAAAAAAAAACTTCAAAGTTTAAAAATAAATAGTTTATTCTTGTAAATCAAGCAACAATTTGCCCCTTTAAGACAAAGGGGAAAACCATCTATCAACAGAGAGTGCTACGTAGGAGGTCCAGCAATGCCAGGGAATGGTCTTCAACCATTTAAAAGAATGAGATCTGAAAAGATGGCCCAAAGAATGGATGAAAATATTTGTAAATCATTAATCTGATACAGGTCTAGCAACCAGAATACATATGAACTCTTACAACTCAATAACAAAAAGACAAACAATGAAATTTGAAAATGGACAAAGAACCAGAATAGACATCCCTCCAAACAAACAAACAAATGGCCAATTAGCACATGAAAAGATGCTCAACCTCATTTGTCCTTGGAGAAATGCAAATCAAGACCACAAGATGCAACTTCACACCGACCAATGAGTAAGAGATGGTGATAATTAAAAAATAAAACAAAACACAATGGAAAATAACAAGTGTTGGCAAGGACGCCGAGACACCGGAACTCTAGGCCATTGCTGGTGGGCACGAAATATGGTACGGCCTCTGTGCAAAGTATGAGTTCCTGAGAAAGTTACACATAGAGCAACCATTTAACCCAGCAGCTCCACTCCTGTATGTATGTATGTATCAAAGAGAAATAAAAACAGGGGCGCCTGGGTGGCGCAGTCGGTTAAGCGTCCGACTTCAGCCAGGTCACGATCTCGTGGTCCGTGAGTTCGAGCCCCGCGTCAGGCTGTGGGCTGATGGCTCAGAGCCTGGAGCCTGTTTCCGATTCTGTGTCTCCCTCTCTCTCTGCCCCTCCCCCGTTCATGCTCTGTCTCTCTCTGTCCCAAAAATAAATAAACGTTGAAAAAAAAAATTAAAAAAAAAAATGTTTAAAGAGAAATAAAAACATACATCTACGCAAAAACCTATACACAAATGTCGACAGCAGCCCTATTCACAATAGCCAAAACACAGAAACAATCCAAATGTCTGTCAATTGGCAAATAAACATAATGTGGAATATCTATAAAGGAAATTATTACTCAGCCATAAAAATGAATGTACTTCTAAGATACGCTACGACACGGATGAACCTCGAAGACATGATGCTAAGTGAAAGAAGCCAGACATAAAAGACCACATATTGCATGATTCTAGTTGTGTCTGAAATATTCTGAGTAGGCAAATTCCTAGGGATAGAATGCAAAATAGTGTTTAGTAAAGACCGGGGGTAGGGGAAGATGGGGAGTGATGGCTTTCGATGGATACTGAGTTTCCTTTTGGGGTGATGAAAATGTTCTGAAACTAGATAATGCTGATCGTTGCATCGGCATTGTGAGAGTCCTCGATGATACCAAATCGTACACTTTAGATAAAATGGTATATATTTTATGTTTACTTTAACACACATTCTTCAAAAAAAAGCAGATATAAAAAAATAGAACATAAAAGGATTTCCAAGGCATCTGTGAGATGAAAAAGCAAGTTACTGAATCCTGTTTGTATTAAAACAAACAAAATCCAAGCTCTATGTGCCTTTACAAATGAATGTGCATATGAATGTATATATGTATATACACACACAAGTACATGTTTTCAAGTAACCTTGGAAAAAACAGAGCAAGAGGCAAAGGTTTCTGTGAGGTATGGAGGGTAGGTATACCACAAGTTAATGTTTCTAAACATTCATGCCTGAAGTAATCATTATGGAAACTTCATCAAAACAGGCATATCAATTTTAGTAACTCCATTAAGTTTAATGGAGTTAAATAAAATGCATGTGCATAATGGAGTTATATAAAATGTATGTGCCAAATGATGCTAATTGTTAACTCTAGTAGGTCAATAAAAATGACTCACCATTGTTTCTGCAGAGTCCAAGATCAGCAAGGGTTAAATGTAAGTCAACTGATTTCAAGCTTCTAAAGTCAAAAGTAACTAGAGTTTTGGCATCCTTTCTCAAAAAAGGGGAACACACTGTAATCCTTTGACAAGCTTAAAGGACATAAAAGTTACAATTTCATTTGACTTGACTAAAACAGTAAACAAAAGTGGTTAAATGTGTTCCAGGTTAGGAGTTCCTGAAGTCTAGAATAAATCATGGACCCCAATTTCCCTCAATTCACTACAGTTCATGTACTCAGTGAGTTAGCAAGATACCTATTTAAAAAATTTTTTTCTTTTAATCTTCATTTATTTTTGAGAGAGAGAGGGAGACAGGAGTGCGAGCAGGGGAGGGGCAGAGAGAGAGAGGGAGACACAGAATCTGAAGCAGGCTCCAGGCTCTGAGCTGCCAGCACAGAGTCCGACACGGGGCTCAAACTCACGGACTGTGAGATCATGACCTGAGCTGAAGTTGGAGGCTTAACTCACTGAGCCACCCAGGCGCCCCAGCAAAATACCTATGAACTCCAATTTTTTATCAGATTTATATGTTTGGACATCTAATCAGGAATCAATATACAAGATACATATTTTGTTGATAATATACAAGAGAAAAAATGTCTTCAAATTTATTTAAAAAGAAAGCATTCCACTCTGCTAATGCATGCTGACCCATACATAAAAAATGGAGACACCAATTCCTAGACTGCCAACAGTCTGATTAGGTGAAAACAAAACGCACCTGACACTAGTGTGACTGTGAAGTCCAGGTTTACCATCTGTTTGAAAAGATATCCAAGTAAAATACACAACACTAGTAAATAGTTTAGACCTTTCTGGCCCCAAAGATGTGTTACCACTGTGCTGGGTTTGGCCGGGATTAAAAGCACTATAACCCCCTGTTTTGTGGTCTCAGGCACAAACCAACCTTAAATGCTCCACACCCTGAAAATTACTTTGAAAGTCTGACTTATTCTTTTTATCTTTCCATGAAAAAAGGAGACTACAAACCAAAGTTTTCTTCCTGCTCTGCCTTTTATGTTCTCTGCCATTATGAAGCTGACAACAATGTAAAGAGACTAAGAATACTCGTCCTTCAAGATTATGGATTCAAGTACTAAAGATTTCTTGACCAAGAACTGTTTTTCTTTACATTCAACTACCATCACAGAGCAAAAAGGAGAAGCAAGAGTCCTTGATTGTTGAAGTCATCCGCTAGAAACAGAAACAAAATTCAACTACATTCACAAGGTAAAAAATTATCTGGGCCTATCAGGTCCATACGGGACAATGAATGCCTGTGGTTTGTGTACTTTTTCTGTATTCTATTTAAAAGGTTTTTTAGGACACCTGGGTGGCTCAGTCGGTCGACTTCGATCTCGTGTCCGTGGGTTCAAGCCCTGAGCCGGACTCTGTGCTGACAGCTCAGAGCCTGGAGCCCGCTTCGGATTGTGTGTCTCCCTCTGTCTCTGCCCCTCCCCTGCTCGTACTCTGTCTCTCTCTTTCTCTCAAAAATAAATAAACATAAAAAGTTTATTTTTTAAAGTTTTTTTGGAACCTATGAGAGATAAGGCTGAAACCTCAGGCTGAAAACCTGAGATTTTATTTATTTTTTTAAAGATTTTCCTTTTAAGTAATCTCTACACCCAACGTGGGGCTCGAACTCATGACCCTGAGATCAAGAGTTGAATGCTCTTCTGACTGAGCCAGCCAGGCGCCTCGAGTCCTGGGATTTCAAACAAAATTATTATATTAAAACTATCTGACCATTAACCAGAAAATATAAATATGCCAACTTCACTCTTCAAAATAGAGTGTGGATTTGGGTCAAATTCCAAGCTATTTCTTCCTTAGTCAGCTAGTCCAAAGTGGTTACGTAGTTTCATCTGTTTGGTTTTTTGTTTTTTGTTTTTGTCTAAAACAGTTCTCTACGGTCTCCGGGAGGCATCTAAACTATCACCTATTACCTAAACTTCTTGACTGATGTCTGGCAACCCAAATTTTAATCTCTAGTCTCCCCAAAACCAGGCAAGTCAATCACTTCGTCTCTCTGGACCTAAATTTTCTCACCCGTTACAGGAGGAGGTTGAACAAAATGAGTGAATCTGTTCAAAGAAAAATATTACGTAAGTAAATAACAGCACAGGTGGTACACAGATATGGCAAAAGTCACAACCACAGTTAATGGGAAAGTTAAAGGGGAAGGAAAAAAGTGTGCTAGGGCAAGGGTGTCTGATCTTTTACTCAGCGGCAAAACCTTTAATTAAATAAAATTTACATGGAAACCTGACAGCAAAGTGACAAAATGCTGTCTCTGGTCCCATTTGACTTACCCCGCCTCCATTATCACCACCATCCACACAAGTATACACACTCATGAGCACAGCCTGAAATCCACTATACTAGAAGATGCTCAAGGTTCTTTCTAGGTCAAAACTCCTTCCTTTCTTCCAAATGATATCTAAGACATTATAGAAAGAGCTCTTCAGAATTGCTAAGCTCGGCGATTTTACGAAGAAAAAGGAGTACCCTGTTATGTTATGAACTGATCATCGTCCCTCAGTGTCTGAAGCGCAAAAACCAAATGGAAGGAAGACTTGACGTCAAGTAAATGGTGGCTTAGATAGGGTGGACCTTATGGACAACGCACACAGACACTCAAGATGGCAGACGAGGGTGTCTCCACATTCACCTAGGACGAGGAGGCTGAAGAAAATGGTCATGCCGCTTGACTGTTCCTCCTGCTGAGCCTGCTCCCCCGTTTGCACGGGCAGAATGGGCTTGGCAGGGGTCGGGAGCACCAGTTTCGTAGTGACAACCAAGGTAGTGTGGAGAGTGACATTGAAACCTTCATGAGTTGTATTAGGGAACCTGTTGGACATAAAAAGCAGCAGTATTAGATAAAGGGAAATGGGCCCTGAGTACCAACACATGCGCACGCGCACACACGCAGAAGGGGAATCTGGCAAAGAGGATGATGGATTCACAAGTCTTAGAACCAAACTGATTCTCAGAAAGTTCCTGCCTGCCACAGCAGGAGAGTACCAGTGGCTTCAGGTGCTCTGAACCCAGCCGCTTATGGGACAGAAACAAGGGGGGGAATTAGGGCCAGCGTAGAAATAAAATGCTGCCTGCTCTTTGGCATTTAACAAGGGATTCAAACGGAGGCACACTGGACTGTCATCACATTCCAAGATCCGACATTATTTACATGGCGCCTTTATTTCTCCAGTTTACATTCTTTTCCTTGAATTATAGCTGCAAGTTGACGAAGCCACCTGAATTTACCCAACTGTTGATCTGGTTGGAACACCTCACCCCACTTGACAAAATCCTTCTCAGATTTCCAAAGGCTCAAATGTTACGTCCCCTGTAATACGGCACCTGCCCCGTTTCTCAGTGCTCGCCTTGCTCTGGGGTGGGATTGTTAAATAGGGCAATATTCATATAATAATCATTGCAACTGTGATTATAACAGCTAGTGTTTATTGAGGAATGCTTCATGCCAGAGACTAGGTAACATCACCACCTCTCATTTCATAGGCATACCATGCCTGAGATGGGGACTATTACTTTCCCTTTTTTACGCATGAATAACTGAAACTCAGAGAGGCTGCATAACGTGGCCAATATCTCAGCCAGCCGGCGGCAGAATCAAGCTTTGAGACCAAACTTGAAATCACTGGGGCCCTTCCACCTCTTTTGCCTTGCGCTGCTGAGGCCCAGTTCAGTGTCTGCAATAGAGCACACACTGGGTAAATAAGCTGCCAAGATGAAACGACCACCCGGCTGAAGAGACGTATCTGAAAAGATGTCAGGTGAGGGAGTCAGATTTCAACCATGGGGGTTCCTTCTTAATTTCTACCTACCCTTCCACATAGGTAGGGCATCTGTAACATGCAATAGATTGTGCCCGGCACGTGCGGAGACAGACTAAAGAGTGGTCCTTCCCCCAGAAGTACCTGGAGGACACTGGACGCCTCACACATCTCTATCTCATCTCAGCTAGCCCCTCACTCTTCCTATTCCAGCCATCCTGCCTTTCTTTCTGTCCCTAAAAGACACTAAGCCCTTTCTTGCTTCCAGCCATTTGCACTTGCTTGTTCCCTCTCCTATCCCTCCTTCTTGTCTTTAAAGTTTCAGCTGGCATGTCACGTCTTCCTGCAGGGACGCCCGCCCTAACACTTCCATTTCCTTTTAGAGCGCTGAAATCATCTTGCCTATTGATGGTCTATTCCCACTAAAATGTAAACTACCTGAGGGCGGCTCCTGGTCGGCCTCCTTCACTACTATGTGCCCAGGGCCTGGAATAGAGTAAATGGCCAACAGTTAATGAATGAATGAATGAATCTCGGTGGAGGAGACAGAAGAGAAAAATGACCGTTACAATGGAAGAGGCGACTGGCTAAGTAGGGGGGTAGGGGACTTGCTGGAGGAGGCGGCGGAGCTCTCCCCAATATTCAGAAGACCGAAAAATGGTTAAATGAAATCTGGGTTGCGGTTTCGGCCAGACGGCTTTCGAGGCCTGCCCTGAGCTGTCGATTCCCTGCACGAGGATCTGACCTCCAGGAGGCTTAAGGGCCGGGCTGGGCCCAGGCCCATCCCTCCCGCCCTCCTCGCTGGCGCCGGCATGGTTCGTCCTGGCCAACCGGCACAAGGAGCCCCGCCTTTCAGGGCCGGAGGGCGGCCTGAGGCGCTCGCTGTCACACCCGCCGGGGCCCAGCCCTGCCGCCTCCGCCGCCCGGGAAATGCCCACTCACTCCTCTTCCGCCATCTTCTCCCCCATCCTGCGGAGCCTCCAAGACCACCGAGTTCGGAGCCGGGGGCTAGCAGGGACTGCTTTTGCTTCCGGCTTCCGCTGGAGGCGCGGGCTGGCGGAGGAGCGGAGGGCGGGGCCTCGGCCGCGCGAGGGCGGCCCTTCTGTCCCTTCGTCTCTGTGGCCTGAAGGTGGGAGGACCCTGCCAGGGCACTTTTAGGACGCCTGACTGCCCTGCGTCTGGTGACCTTCTGGCCCCATGAAGTTTTGGCCTTTCTTCATCCCAGGGCGGGGACGTTTTGAGGGAAGCTCCTGTGAGGTCGTTGTGACTCACCCTGAGAGCAAGCACTCTCCATCCAGTGTGGAGGACTGCGTTCCGAAAGTTGAGAAGGAAACGTCTAACCGAGGCTGCGCAGAGGGACCCCAGGGGTACACTTCCCCGATCTGAGCCCCAGTTTTCCTCGCTGTAGAGAGAGGACTAGCCACTTGGGCCTCGCAGAATCGTGCAGTATTCTATCTGTAAACAATTACTGAGTTCTGACTATATGCCTATCATTCAAATAGGTGATGACGATCTGGTCCTGGGTCTTTCATTAATTTGTTCGTGGAGTCGACTGCATGTGCCTAGCGGTGGTCTGTAGGGTTGAGCATATCAGGAAGGAACGAGGCAGGGTTGTAGGGGTAAGAGGGACCCCGTCAGGAGGGGTAAGAGGGCCCTCCTCCTCCTGGTACCTTTGTGTAAGGTCTTTGGATAGGACACCACCTGTGCTGTTGCCACCTCCTTCCAGGTCCAAGACGTCATATCTCATGGCAGCTGTAGTAGCTGCCTGAACCGTAAACTTGTCTCTGGCTCTGCTGTTGTTCCTCACGGCCTTCTGCACCACGGGCTCCAGCGATCCTTGGAAAACATTTTTGAGTTATTTATTTAAACAATCTCTACACCCAACCCCAAGATCAAGAGTTGCCTGCTCCTGGGACTCAGCCAGCCAGACCCTCCCCCCTCCAGTGATCCTTTAAAACTTCAGTCATTTACAGTGGAATGTTACTTGGTGATCATGAAGAAAGAAATCTTGCCATTTGCAACAATGCGGATGGAACTAGGGTGTATTGTGCTCAGCAAAATAAGTCAGGGAAAGACAAATACGTGGTTTCACTCGTATGTGGAATTTAAGAAACAAAACAGATGAACACAGGGGAAGGGAAGGAAGAAAGATAAAAACAGAGAGGGAGGCACACTGTAAGAGACTCTTAAATACAGAGAACAAACTGGGGGTTGCTGAAGGGGAGGTGGGTGGAGGGATGGGCTGAATGGGTGGTGGACATTAAATAGGAGGGCACTTGCTGGGAGGAGCACTGGGTGTTATACGTGAGTGATGAATCACTGAGTCTACTCCTGAAACCAATACTACACGGTATGCTAACTAACTTGAATTTAAATTTTTTTTTCAACGTTTATTTATTTTTGGGACAGAGAGAGAGACAGAGCATGAACGGGGGAGGGGCAGAGAGAGAGGGAGACACAGAATCGGAAATAGGCTCCAGGCTCCAAGCCATCAGCCCAGAGCCTGACGCGGGGCTCGAACTCACGGACCGCGAGATCGCGACCTGGCTGAAATCGGACGCTTAACCGACTGCGCCACCCAGGCGCCCCAAACTAACTTGAATTTAAAGACAAGGGGTGCCTAGGTGGCTCAGTTGGTTGAGTGTCCAACTTCTGCTCAGGTCACGATCTCACGGTTTGCAGGTTCGAGCCCCACGTTGGGCTCTGTGCTGACAGCTCAACACCTGCTTTGGCTTCTGTGTCTCCCTCTCTCTCTTCCCCTCTCTCACTCACACTCTCACTCTCTCAAAAATAAATAAAACATAAAAAATTTTTTTAAATAAATTAAAAGAAAACAAAACACCTCTAGTCATTGCCCTGCTTAAATTGGAACCTCCACTGGCTTCCAATCTGAGTCCAAGGAAAAAAGAGTTAGAAAACTCACAAGACTCAACCCTGCCCCATTTACCCCTCAGAGGTGGATGGACTCACTCCCTCCTGCACATTTTCTTTTTTTTTTTTTTTAATTTTTTTTTTTTTAAGTTTATTTATTTTTGGGACAGAGAGAGACAGAGCATGAACGGGGGGAGGGGCAGAGAGAGAGGGAGACACAGAATCGGAAGCAGGCTCCAGGCTCTGAGCCATCAGCCCAGAGCCCGACGCGGGGCTCAAACTCACGAACCGTGAATCGTGACCTGAGCCGAAGTCGGACACTCAACCGACTGAGCCACCCAGGCACCCCCCTCCTGCACATTTTCCACTGTGGTCACAATGGCTTCTGTGTGAACTGGGAACACACCAGGTACTTACTGGTGTACTTGCTCAGCCCTTTGTCTAGAATACTCCACTTGTGGGTTGTCCCTTGGATGTCACCTTTTCCCAGTTTTAGGCTTTTTGTTTAATGCTTACCTTCCTTATCCTGACTTCGCTGACCACCCTGTTTAAAACCCAAACCCCCTCTCCTTCCCCGAGTTATTTTTCCCCAAAGCATTTTCCTCCACAAGGATGTAAACTTCCTGAGTGCAGAGGTTTTTGTCTGCTCTGTTGTTTCATCTCCAGAACAGCACCTAGCATACAGTAGGTGCTCAATAATAAAGGATCATCAAATAAATAAAGGAGTGAAGAAGTTAACTCTAGATGTGTTAGGAAACAGAAGGGTTTCAAGAAGAGGAGTGCTCTGACCTGACTTTTATCGGGACAACTTTGCCTGCCTGTGGGGAGTTGGGTGGATGACAGGCCTCTGGCCAGCTAGGAGGCTTTTGCACTAACCAGGGTGAGAGTTGATGGTGGTTTGGATTAAGGTGATGTGCTAGAGATGACAGGAAGGATTGGATTCTGGGTACATATTGAAGGCAGGGTTTGCTGAGGGACTGTGGTGTGTAAAAGAAAGCAAGGAGTCAAGGATGACTTCAAGGTTTTGGTCCTGAAGAACTAGGTAGAGAAGAGAGCTGTCTGGCTTACACCCAAAGTCCCTTGCCACTCCAAAACCTCTTAGGGCTGTTGACAAAGCTGAGAGAATATGCTTAGGACCAGCCAACGTTTATTGAGTTCTTCCTGTAGGTGTGGTGCTCAGCTATTGTTTCCTTAATTCTTTTCTTCTTCTTCTTCTTCTTCTTCTTCTTCTTCTTCTTCTTCTTCTTCTTCTTCTTCTTCTCCTTCTCCTTCTCCTTCTCCTTCTCCTTCTTCTCCTTCTTCTCTTCCTCCCCCTCCCCCTCCCCCTCTCCCCTCCTCCTCTCCTCCTTCTTCTTCTTCTTCTTCTTCTTCTTCTTCTTCTTCTTCAAGGCATTTCTATAACCTGAAGCACAGAGAAGTTAAGCCACTTACCTAAAGTCACACAGCTGGAACTGTTGAGGCTGGGATTCAGGCGCAGAGTCTGTGTTTTTGCCACCACAGACTTGTTATTGCCAACACTGCTCTTCCTTGTTGCCCTCTACTGCCTTAATTTTTCTGGTTCTAAGATGGGGCTAACAGTCTATTTCTCTCCTTTAGCACAGAGCCTGGCAGAGAGGAACTGGCCCATAAAAGATGGAGAGTGGGATTGTCTCTGAGCCACACTTAGGGCCTGAGAGCTTGAGGCTGTTATTCCTCTTCCAGCCTCAGAAAACCCCACCTGGCTGGAGCCGGGGCCCTGTGACTGGGGGTGGGGAGATCTTTTTGTATTGAGCTGCTAGCTGTGGGCTACTCAGGATGAAAGAGAATTCCTGAATTCTCTGAGGGCTGCCCCATTCTACCTGCTGTTCCACACACTGTCCTTGCCACATCTTGTTATCAGGGCCACTTCGGGATTTTGTGACCATCCTGGGCCTGCCACCAAGCAGGAGGCCATAAAACACCTGCTCTTAGGCCTGAGGTCAAATCCCAGGCCCTTCTCACCTATTCCTGGGAACTCATCCAAATTTCCCGGTCATTACCCCCAGGAAGGCAAATAAAGCCGTTCAACATGCAGTTCCTAGACTCCTGTGCTGTGCCAGGCTTAAAAGAGGCTGGAACAAGGCATGCAGTCCTGGCTCCCTATCCCAACTGAGGACCCACGGCTCCGTGACCCTGGGACACCACTGCACCCTCAGAACCTCAGGGTCCCATCATGGTTTTTGCCAGAGCCCTTCTTGGGAAGGCTCTTATAGAATTAGAGAGAAAGCTCTTGCCTTAGTTCTCTGTTCTTTCTGTCCTCCCTACCCCCCCAAGCTTCCTCTTTCTTGCCATTCTGGTCTCAGCTTAAAGATCACCTCCTCAGGGAGGACTTCCCTGACCACTCCGTCTAAAGCAGCGGCCAGCAAACTTTTTCTGTCAAGAGCCACACTGTAAATATTTTAGGTTTTGTGGGCATTCAAATCCCTGCTGCTATGAGTCAACTCTGCTGTTGCAGTGGGAAAGGAACCACAGATGATTTAAATATGTGCAGCTTTGTTCCAACAAAACTTTATGGATATCGAAATTTGAATTTCTTGTCATTTTCATAATACTTGTTTTCAACCATTTGAAAATGCGGAAACTATTCTTAGCTCATGAGCCACATGAAAGCAGGTGGCAGGCTGGATTTGCCCCTCCCAGGGTTGCTGACCCCTGATATAAAGTCCTAAACGTCAGTGTTTCTGAGGCACTTATCACTATCAGATATATATATATTTTTTGTCCTTCTTCCTTCCTTCTTTTTTTCTTCCTGAGTTGATCATCTTGTTTCCTCTCTTAGGATATAAGCTCCCTGGCAGGAGATTGTCTCTCTCTTCTGTCTTTCTTCCATTCCTTACCTCTTCTAACATTTCTTGAACCCTTACCCTGCAACACAAATTTATCGTCTTTGTGTTCTGTAGGTTAGAAGTGTTGTAGGGCTGGGGCGCCTGGGTGGCGCAGTCGGTTAAGCGTCCGACTTCAGCCAGGTCACGATCTCGCGGTCCGTGAGTTCGAGCCCCGCGTCGGGCTCTGGGCTGATGGCTCAGAGCCTGGAGCCTGTTTCCGATTCTATGTCTCCCTCTCTCTCTGCCCCTCCCCC